TTAATATTCTGATATATTTAACTTATTCAAATTGTAAAAATTATACTTTTATTGGATTTAATGGATTCCCTTTGTTGGAAGGGGGGGGGGGGGGTGGATAATGAAATTTGATATGGATATCAAAAGATTATTAAATTTTTTTGACTATAATATTAATATTCCCTCTTGGTCTTAATGGGTTGGACTTGGTTTGGGGGAAGGGATAAAAACAAAAAATTTCATATGGGTATCAATAGGTTAAGAATATTTAGATGTAATCACTCTAAGTGGGTGGGTCTATGTCTGGGGGGGGGGGGGGGTGAGGAATATTCTATAAACACAAAATATTGATATGGGTATCAAATAAAAGGTAATTAAAATATTTTTTAAATATAATATTAAATATCATAAGTAGTTGAATCTAGATATTGGAAAGTCATTAAGTATCAATATAAAATATTGGGCATCACGTCAATTAGGCAGGGAAAATTCGGCGCAGCGACAATTCGACGCGTATCTAATACAGCTGCAATTTATTATAAATTTATTAGTATTAAAAAAAAGGATGATAAAATAGAAGTCTTTGAATATTAGTCCTATTAATTATTTCTTTATATTTTTTTTACAAAAATCTCAATTTTATTTACCACATGTGTAATAACAATAAATATTTTAATAATATTAAAAAAAATTAACAACCAATATTTTTACCGATTTAATTTATAAGGTATACATATTATTTTGGCTAAAATCTTAATCGACAGTTTTTAAAAATTGACCCAAATTGGTCGTTTAACATTTTGATTTGAATTTATAAAGAGAGATCTACTATATACTGAGATTTTTCTAAATCATCTAGAATCAAATTTTTATTTAGAATAATCTTCATACAAAATAGGGCTAATCCATTTAAATACCGGTTATATTTCTTAAATAGGTTTTTAACATTTTTAAAGTTGAAAAGCCTTTAATTAGTGCAGGTGCTAATTGGTAATGTAGCTAATTATGTTTTGATATTAGTCAGGGAATCTAAACTGCAATTACATATGGAAAGGGCCTGCAGAGCATTTTTGGTCTCAAAGGATGCTTTATTCTGTCAAGATTTAAGGAAATTAGACATAACAAACTTATCATATGAGCCTTCTAAATCATCATGTAAAACTCTGAGATTTTTCTAATATCTCTCGTGTTAAGCGTAAGACTCAACCGGCAAAAAAAAGATAAAAGCTTTTTAAAATCAAATTATGACTAATAAATCTTTCCTTAAATTTAATAAAAATGTACCAATAAGGGTTATTTTATAAAAATCCTCAATCGTAGATGCATCAATATTTGAGTATTTGGATTGTCTAGAAATTAATCTAGATAAATTTCAATCCCAAGCATTATAGCAATCTCTTTTACTTTCTCATATATTTCATGAAATTTTTCATCCACATTCTCTCTGATATTTATTAATATTTCAGCAATATCCTTTGCTCTATTCATAACCTCCCTTAAATCCAAATTAATTTTTTATAGCATTTTGCTAAAATCATATGTATAAATAAATAAAAAATAAACACTAATGGATATTAAAAATTGTGGCTTAATAATAGCCTGCAAAATATTCTCAGCATCTGCTGAATCTTTTTACTTGCTTCGTATATAAAATTCTAGTGCTGAAAATACATCATATAGTTCAATAAAGAGTTTCACGGACTATTGTCTTTCAATGAATCTAGTCGGACAAAATCTTTTTGGTTTACTTTTTTATTTTTTAAGTTAATGTCATGATAAGCCACTTATATTTTTTTGTCCATGATAATTGGAATGTCAAATTTCTCATATTTAATGACACTGGAAATTTATATTTTATTTTCAAGTATATTTATAATTTCAATATCCATAATATAAATATAAAAAAAATTGCGCATTAATTCGTCGGGCCGATTTAATAAAGACCTGTATATTATATCAACAATGATTGACCCACAGTTTAAAATATCAAGTCACCTATCCAAGTATAAAAGTATAGACACTCACTCTCATTGTATACCTAACCGAAGAATATAATATTTCTAAAATAAATATATTAAATCAGCAGAATATATAAAGAACAGAAGATAAATCCAAAAAAATTGTCCTTTTATGATAAAAAATATCAAGCTAACATAGTCATAACAATAATAGTTTAGAAATAAGCAAATATAAGATTAGAGATAGAGATCCAAACCTTTCTTTTTCTTTATTTCTTTCTTTCTTCTATGCGCAAAATCTTCAGGGTTACATAATATTGGCTACTAATCAACATACCCTATAATATGGTAAATTGATCCACCAAAGAAATCGGCATAAATATTGGTTGTTAATTTTTTATTTATTATAAATTTTTTATTGATATTACACATTTAGTAAATAAAATTGATATTTTTTTAAAAAATATATAAAAAATAATTAATAGGACTAACATACAACATGACTTCTATTTAATCATCCTTTTTTTTAATACTAATAAATTTATAATATATTGCAGCTGTATTAGACACGCGCCGAATTGTCACCGCACCGACTTGACGCTGCACCGACTTGACGCTGCACCGAATTGACGTGGAACGTGGATTAGATTCGGGATGAGGGGGAAGTGGGGTTAAAAATAAAAATTAGAGTGAAGTCAATTTTGACTATAATTTTTATTATTGAAATTGCGGGGCTCCATTTACAGGTAGAATAGCTAGAGTAGGAGACATTCCCTCCAGGTGCTATTTGAGATTGAGTAGAATTTACCTTATAGTAGTGTAGTTAAATTGCTTGGTTTGGTCGAATTGGCATGATTTTTAGTCGAAAGAATGAACCAGAACCAATTCAACCAAATGGGTGGATCTGGTTAGCCAAATCTATAGACCTAAGCATCGAATCATCGAATAGCCAATATTGTAAAATATTTTGATGGTAGGCAATTTTTGGCTATATATTAGTTTGTCGTAATTTTCATTAGCGAATTATGGTTAAATAACTAATAAATACATTTCGACTCAAAATTGAACTTGAGTCAACTATTGGGCTAACTAACTGCAGTCAAATATTAGAACGAATCTAACTCCTGAGCAGACTTGAGCCAAAGCCAATTCATCTAGTCGGCTTGAGCCTAAACCAATTTTTACGACTTTAGGTCAGACCCTGAATATTATTGGTTAAATAAACATATATTACCCGCATTTTTTGATGATATATGAATTATAAATGCTAAAAATCGATAAATTCCTATAATTAATTTTTCCCGGTCTTAGAAGTTAATTATTTCGAATTTGATGTTAATTATTTAATTAATATGGAATTGAAATACTCGTCCTATAATTTTTAAATTGAGTTATCGACAACTCGAGTTCGAGATGCTAGTTTAAAGTAAACATTATACAATATTTTCAGATTATAAGAAGAGAACAATTTTTTAAAAAAGGAATCTAATATTATTAAACAAGATTATTTTTATGTATATTGAAATATTCGCCCTCTATGCACAAAAATATGATTGAGCAAAATATTCACAATGGTTTGGGATTAAGTTGGTACTCAGGTCTATAGATTTAGCCGACCAGATAGAGCCGTTTCGTTGGGTTGGTTCTAGTTCATTTTTTCTACCAAAAACTGAGGTCATGGTCCGTGTAAAACCAACTAATTAACCACACTACCTTATACTTAATAATCAAGACTGTTTAAACCAGAAAATTTAATAAACCATAAACAAAACTTTTCTATAGACTTATATTGAATTTATAAAATAATAGATTAAGAATCAATTACAAATAAAAAAATTAAGCGTACAAAAAATATATGACATCGTAAACACTGTCCCTTTTATAGGAAAAATAAAAGGCGCAATAATAAACTAATATTAATTTGGCGCAAAGTGAGAAATAGAACGCTTTTGAAAACAAGAGAACAATTAGAGTTAAATTTTTGTAGTTTAATGAGAAATAGAACGCTTTTAAAAACAAGAGAACAAAAAGAGTTAAATTTTTGTAGTTTAATGTAAAAATTTGATCTATCTCCACTTTTTGAAAAGTATAAAAACCACGTTTTTTAAGGAAACTAAAATTAAATATATGATAATTTGTTTGCGCATCACTATAAGCATAATCTTAAAGATAATTTTTTAAAAAAAATTCTAGCTCTTTCCATATTGAAAATAAGATAGATAATATTTTAAAAATGCGCTTCTGAAAAATAACAAAAAATGGACTTAGACCACTATAATCACACGATATATCAAAACTATAATAGAGATTGATGTCAATTTTATTATGTAGATATATTGATTTTACCTTTTTTTTATTAATAACAATTTTTGGCTATTAATTTGATATGAAAAAAATCATGGCCATTAATCTTCGGGCTCCCCTTAATATCTTTTATGATAATTCAATTAAAAAAATTGTCATGAAGTTGTTTCATTATTTGAATAAAGATATGCCTCTACTAGCTTTACTTGTTTCATTTTTATTAGAGACCTGCTGTGGTACCATTTGCACGGCTCAGGTTTTTTAAAATTATATTATATATTTTTGATTTTTATAGCTAATAATGGCGATTTCAAATATTTGGTTTTAAAATATACTACCCGGCCCGGATTTTTTTTAAATACCCGGGCTGGGCAAGGCCGTATTTTAATCAGGTCCAGCCCGACCCGGGTAATTTTGTCTCTGATTTTTGTATCCAAAACTACTAATAGATATACTTTTAGGCTCCTCATATTTTAATATACAGTTCAACTTTAGGAATCATGATTTAAAAATTTAAATAGGATGAACTTTGATTTGGCATAGGTTAAGTTAATTTTTATAAAAAACACCCTTAACCCTAACCAGCTAATTAGTAACTAAAATTTTTTTTTGATTTGGTTTAGGTTAAGTTAATTTATATAAAAAACACCCCTAACCCTAACCAGCTAATTAGTAATTTAAAAAAAATTTATTTTAAAATGATCAAATTGTCTTATTTAAATATTTATACACATTCATAATTAAAAATTAATCTATTTATTCTGTTGCTGACATGTCTCAAAATGATTAAAATAATATATTTTATTCACAACATTTTTTCACATGCATATCTTTATTGTTTCGTTTTAAATTATAGGTGGCAGATTTGAATAGTTCATTGTCTTCTCGTTCAATCATCATCCTTAAAATTAATTAGTTAATATATAATACCGATTATTATTGTGTCTTAATCAATCAACTTTATAGAGGGGATTCGAAAGATAAAAATTTAATTCTAACAAAATTTTAACTATAAATAGAGTTAAAATTTATAACTATAATCTATAATAATCAAGCGATGTCTCAAATAATTAAAATCAGATGAAAAATTATTTTTAAAATAATATAAAAACTTGATTAGGGATTTAAAAACATTTTCAACATTTTTCCCGGATTTTGCACTAGTTCTCCAAAATGTTGCATCGTTTTCCTTAAATATTTATTATTAATATGTATTTTGGAAATTAAATGATTGTATGTATATATTAGCGTCAATGTGGTTTTTCATTAATGTATTATTTTTTCAAATAAATCATTTTTCGAAAGTGTTCTATGATAAATAAAATGATTTTGCTAAAAATGTATTCCAACATCCTGTAGAATATTTACTTTCTGATTTTAGGAAATTTTGCCATAAAATTTTGCAGGGATGCGAACCCGGCAAAATTTTTGCCCGAGATCGGTTTGGGTTCGGTTTAAGCTTAAAAAGATAGGTGGGTTCGGTTCGGGTTCGGTTCAGGTAAATATTTTTTAACTCTGGTTTGGTTCCGGATTCAGCTCTGGTTTAAGAATTTTTGAATTGATAAAAAAAAATTCTATATTTAAATCATAATTAAAAAACTAGACATAAATTTGGTGTAAAAAATAATTTTTTATTTTATTTATAGGCAAAATATAGTTAAAAATACAAAGCATAGTCATGTATAGATTTTAAAAATTCTATTTAGACGTATTTCTTTAAATTAACAATATCCAATATAATAATTTTTACTTTGACTTGTTCACTTTCATTTTCTTTTAATTAATAATCTTTGAGAATAAGTTAAATTAAAATAAATGGCGTAAATGAATTTAGTTGTTTAAAATTTATTAACAATCCAATAGGAATCTTTGAGAATAAATTTAAAAATGGAGTAAATGAATTAAGTTATTTAAAATTTATTAACACTTCACTTAATTGGAAACTTGAAAATATTATAAAATGTCAAGTAAATTATTAATATTTGTATTTACAATTATACAAATATCTTATATTAATTTAAATAATATACTGCGGTTGAACCCGGATTCAAATAAAATTCCCGGGTTCGGTTCGGGGTTTTGAAAATTTTATAAACGGGGTTCAGGTTCGGGTTCAGATTTTTTCCCATAAACCCGGGTTTTCTTCTCCGGGTTCGGGTTCAGTTTGAACCCCTGAAATTTTGAACTTAATATTTGATAATTTTCCATAGATTTTTCAATAAATTATAAATGATTCAATAAAAATATTATAGTAAACTCATTAAAAATTAAACAAGATATTTATGATATGATCCAATACAAATATAAATAAGGTTGTTGTAGATAGAAATAGATAACTAGAAGAGAGATATAAGAGTCTCAATTGACATTGGGAAAAAATAGATATAAATAATAAAGAAAAGGGCTGTGCCGATATTAAATATTGGATCAGATCGGTACCGATATTCAGCGTTTTAAAAAATATGGAATCGAGCCGTTATCTGTAAAAAACGGACCCAATCCGATCTTTTTACTTTACTTTTTTTTATTTTATATATATATTTATTTTATTAATTTTTTTTAAATAAATTTTTTTTAAGCAATGCAAATGCACAACACCCCTTAAATTTTATTTATTTTTTTAAATTAGATTTATAGTATTTTAAAAGTTTTTTTATAAATATTGAAAGAAACACCCTAAGTTTTATTTATTTTAAAACTTTTAAATAATAATGCCAATTTTATTATTTATACTTTAAATAAAAGAATTTTATAAAATATGGCATCTGAATTATTGAAATATTTTACAAAAGACCAAGATAATTTTGCAAAATGCGTTATTGCGGAATTCTAATTTCACGGGAAGAAATAATGAAAAATTCATTTTACTACCAATATCCGTAAACTTTTTTTAATTATTGTAAGAATAGAAAAATTTAATTAAATGCATAATTCGATTTTTTGCATAAAAAAATATATTGATTTCTTGATTACATTTGGTTCAAAGTGAGGTGGTGAATATCGGATCGGTTTTGAACCAATATCGAAAACAATCGGATCGGATTGGTGTATAATATGTGAATCGGCACAGCCCTATTAAAAAATGTGAGGTCGGGAAAATGAGTACAAAATAAATTATCAGGTCGGAGCGGACTTTTCGTAACGGGCCTGGTCGAGTCTGACTTTTTGTTTTTACAGGCCGGGAAAGTACTAGGGAAATTTAAAAAATTTCCGTTATAGAAATAATAAAAATTTAACATAAAAGTTTATACTCACCATAGACGTTTACAACTTATATATATAACAAAAAAGTTTTACCAGAAAAACTATATAAGTTCTGTTCGCTCCATTTAGTGATTTAGAATAAAAGTCGGTTATGGTTCAGAAAATTATAAAGGTCCCTACAACTATAACAGTTTGATTCACTCCAGATCCCTGGTATATACTATATAAAGTAAATTTGATATAGGTTATCTTAAAAATTATCATGAAAAATAAATAGACAATGATTTGTTTTTTTATGGAACGTTTTTTCAAAGCGGTTTCTTAGGAATTTTACTAGCAATTTTTTATTATTTCCATACAAAAATAATTTGTGTAGAAATTTTTTGTAAAATATAAAATTTTAAATATAATGCTTCCGCTTACTCTTCAAGCGCCTAATCGTTTATATAAAAATAAAAATCATATTTTCATTAAAGATTAATGGTGCCTGAGAGAACTAACCATTAGTACAAAAATTAATTCGGCAAATTATCCTTTGTTTGGAAATAAAAAATTTTTTGGGAATATGGTTAGAAAATCGCTTTGAAATACTTTCTAACAAAAGTGTAACAATATTTCATTATTTTAACAAACTTAATGTTAATATATGAATATGATCATACGTTCTTCGCCTAGCTATTCAGAAAAGTTTTGATATTCTTATTGTTATATTTAATGGAAGGGAAAACTTATTTTTAATTATAATTTTATTACATGGATATTTCTTTAATATTTTCATTTAACTATTTAAAAATAAGGTATCTATTTTTGTTCAAAATTTATGTCTTGAATTCATTTCCACATAAGAATTACATTTGCAATATCCACTGCTAACGAATTCAAAGTGTAAATTGATTGATTGGACGGCGATATATCACATTTGTTTGAACATATGACGATAGATACATCTTTTTTATTTGCTGATTCCTTTAATAGTTAGTAATAGAACCGAATTTATTTTTATTCAAATACGATAATACTTTTATAGAAGTTAACCAATAACGTATGTTTATTAAGGATGATTCATTGCTACTATCATATACTAAAATTATTCCATCGGCTCTCCTAAAATAAGATTGAGTAAGACTACGAAATCTGGCAAAAGTAAATAAGATAATATATATGAAATAAAATTATTTTATGCAAAGTATACTATAATAATATTTTTTTTAAATCACAATGGCCTTTTCCCGATTTCATTATAAAAAGGAAAATAATGTCATAGAAATTTGGAATTAGAATTTTATATCAAAATTTAAATGAAAACCTTCATTTTGACTAGGCCTGTGGAAATAAAAAGGGGTATAATTTTCAACAATTTAACAAGCATAACCTTTCTTGTCCAACGGTGTCCCAAATTTTTAACGTAACTTTAAGTTTCTCAAACATTACACTTTTAGTCATACAATCAATTCCTTAATTTCGATAAAAATATTTCACTAATATAAAATTGAATTACCAAGCGTGGACTGAAGATCAGGTTCATATCTATTCTCGCAAAACTGAATTAGTATGGATGTTTTGCCTACCGATGCATCTCCAGCCAATATAACGTTAAAAATTCTGTCGGAAGCCTAAAATAAACGATATTTTGAATTTTAGATATATTAAAATTTGAATTATCATGGAATTATTGATTTTGATCTCTCCTTTTTTAAAAAAAATCAAATTTATATGATAAAAAAAAGATAATTTTTTTGCCCTACTATGTCTCAATTAAAAGACACATATAAAATTTAAGAAAATAAATGGCTAGGATAAATTTAAAGAAAATATATGAAAATGCAGCAATTAGCCTCTTAATGATTATAATTCCCCATACGTGAGATTTTTTAAAAATCTTAAATAAAATGACACATATACATTTAAATTAGGTCAAGGTTAAATTTACCGTATCCAATGAGGCTTCATTTAATGGAGAACACATCGATAAAGATAAATTACCGATTTCTCCATTTGGTGTTTGGGTTTCTTGGTGATTCCGAATATAAGATTTTGTATCAGATTTTTCAGGGTTTTTCCCCCCTATTTTATATTCATGTTCTAATTTTTTATATAAATTCGAATCTGAATAAAATTCTTTTTGAATTAGCAGGTGTTGGGGTCTAAGATATGATATTATCTATATTGTATTATATAAAATCGTGAATTATATGATAGTTCAAAAATTTAAATATTTTGTTAAGCAACATGATTTAACAATTATATCAAAATCAAGCGGACTAGAAATTTTTATGGGGTAGGGAGGTGGGGTTATTTTTTTGGAACAATACAAATTTATAAAAACTTATCATCATATAAAATTTATTTGAACCAATCATAAAATTAACAATTTTCGAACATCAAATAATTAAGAGCAATATAAAATTGTTAAAAAATATAGAATCATAATAAAATATAGAAGTTAACAATAAATGATTTAAAAGTTAAATAAAAATTTAATCGTATGCGCTGTTTTCTATTAGTGATTAGATTTCTTTGCATTTAAGTAGAGCTAGTCTATTCAAGAGATTTTCTGATGTTGTACTACTGAGATAGGTTTTTATTCTTCGTAATAAAGAAAGATCCTCTCATTTGTGCTTGTACAAATATATTTCCAAATTAAACAGTATTTTTAATATATATATATAGAAAAGACTCTAAAATATATTTTATAGAATATAAGGCTTTCATAACGTTTCTTGGAGGATTATTTACTAAAATTAATCATTCATAGATTTAAATTCTGAAATTAATTGGCCTTCGAATACATTTATATCCTTTGAATTAGATTGAGTTAAATATTATTTTATCCAGATTAAATATATTTGGTAGAAAAGGGAAAATATGGGTTTAGCATTTAAATTATTTATTGTTAATATATACTTTTTTATTTTAATGTCAAGATTAAATATATTTGGTCAAAATAGGAAAAGATGGGTTTAGCATTTAAAATATTTATTATTATTATATACTTTTTATATCCAATTTTATTTTCAATTCAAATATCAGGTATGTTGAGTACAATACAATTAATAAAATTGTTATATTTCTAAATCCCATAAATTTTAAGGTTAATTATGTAGACATTTTATGGATATCAAATTATCTTCAACTATATGCCTCCAATTAATTTTTTCTAAAACTTAATATTATATATCGATATACACTTCATTAGACTGCAATATTAAAAAAAATTAAATTTTTTCAAAAACTTACTATTACTTATTTCCATCTAATTGGATGTTATAAAAAATTTGGGGAATAATACGAGGAGCCCTCTATATGTTTGTGAACAAGCTGCTCGTTCTTGGGGCTGATTTTAATTTTAAATTGCTATATATCAATGTTAAATAAGTAAATACTAAATAAATAACTTTTCATCATATTGCTGTTAGTAGTATGAATAAATTGATAAGTTCGAAATTTTTTAGAGTTTCAAAAACCGAACTGATATTATTATTACCGTATTTTCATGTTAAAGGTACTATAAAATATACATAATTAAATAATTGATAACTTTTTGCCCATCGTATCTCATCTTCTATTGTTCTATTGAGAATATTTTCAATTCATTTATTTCACCAGAAGACCCCCCCCCCCCTCAATTAACATTTTAAATTATTTTAACCCTTTTTTAAATAATTTTTTAAAACCCTTTTTTACATTTTATATATTCATGGGGATTGAGGATGTTTCCATTTTTCATAAAAATGCTTTAAATATTAACAATAACCCTTATATTAAGATTAGCTCCTTGGGAAAGAGGCTACCAATGAAGCTGATGTAGTTCGATTTATATATGGCAAAAGCCTTTGTATGGGGTAAAAACCAAAGGGTTTATTTGTAAATTTACAAATGTATGATATAAATTCGAAGAAAGATGAAGCGATGCCACCGAATATGGCTAATGTAGATTAGATTTAGTTATTTGAGTTTCGATTGAAAGGGGCTAAGGAATCAATACAGGAATAGTCCTATATTAGGATTCCCCCCTTTTCCAAGGGATATGCGTAAGGCCATTTGGACTTTTTCCATCATTCGATAGAATTTAAGCAGATTTAAGGGCACGTTAAATAAGGGGCTTGTATTGTTAGTACTTGGACTACGTCCTTTGCAAGAATGGCAGTGCAGGCTGTGCAGGCTGTGCCTTGCCTTTAAATCGACGAGAGAATTACAACCAGAGCAAAGATGCCGTTGAGTAATTGAGCAGACAGATACCAATTTCATGTGTAAGCTCATTTTTAGTAAGTTGCGAAGGTGAATAGAAGGTTTAGCTTCTAGGAATTATCACAAGGTAGTTTAGTCTTAACAGTAAATTTTGTTAATAAGGAGCTTGAGATAAAAGTATTTACTGCTAAATCAGAAGGGGATCTGATGCCAAAACCGCCAAATTTTTTTAGGAGATAAGCTCCAACATAAAAATTTTTCGGTAAGCGTTCTGATTCCAGTTTTATAAGCTTTTAAAGAAGTAGATATTTAAAACAGGGGTAGTCCTATAGGAGCATAAGAATGCGCAATATATAAATTAAGTTTTTTAAAAGGAAAAAAAAACGATTTACTAGAGAAAAGTAAGAGTATATCATACAACTTGCACAGAGTTTCAAGAGTTTAACGAAGAAAGCTGTAAATAGCGTGTCTCTAACCGGAGATTTTAAATGTGTTAGTTAATCTTTCTTAATGATCTTTAAATTGTGGGTAATAGGTTCAGAATAGTTTAGTTTGATGAATTCCTATTTTCTCTGATTGAAAATGAGACCTGAAGAACAACTGATTTCCAGGATTATATCAATCGCTTGATTAACAACTTTAGATGACTGGTAATTATACTATTGTAGATGTACCAGACATCAAGGGAGTATGAGACATTGATTGCCTTGATCATTTATTGATTCCAAGACAAGCAATGATCCAAGAGAATCACTGTTGAATCCCTTTTATGGAAATTAAGAATCATATTGTAATGTGGAAAGATATTGAGAGCTGGAATGGAAAAATCTGTATGTCCAGGGAAAAGAGTTCTCAAGGAAAAGAAAGGAATTTCGAGGTAGAGTATTTAAAGCATTGGCGAAGTCGATCCTAATCAGGATTTCAAATATTTTAATGAATTTGGGTCAAGTGAACCGCGGCCTCATTCCTACTACTCCAACACCAAATTGAAACAAACTCAAAATGAGGGATGCATCGTGCCTTTTTCTTGAAAAAATAATTTTGTTAACAAGACGTCGAAAGTTTGATCCTACAGCTATTGACCTAATATATAATTATTGGGCTTTTATAAGGCAATGAGTCGCGCCAAAATGTATGTGGAGTAACGATGAAATGAGAGGGAGGACATTTATAACTTTTCCTGTGTGTAATCAGTCTCGCGAATGGAGAGGTCGAGGATCAATTAGAATGATAACGGAGTTAGGATATTTGGAACAAAGTTTAATTTAGGATCAGAGGATTCAGCAGGTGAATCATAGGTGGATGCTCACCTTTGTTATTTAAGTAATCAATACTTTGGAGATAGGTTTGGCCTTGATCTCAATGGGAGATGCTTTTCCTTTTGAAATAATTAGTAGATTGTAAAGACACCAAGAAGGTATGGATTGGTATTAAGAGCAGCATCTTTAATTTGTTGTGTTAGATTTTGTATAATGTTTTATCAGGCACCTTGAAAGTATTGAAGCCATAAAAAAAATCAGAGCCATTTCACAGTTAAAATTTTGCAAGATGGAGAAGATGCAATCAGAGAAACCTTTAGCCACACGAGAAATCGTGTTCCATTTGGGGTTTAAGTAAAAATATTATTGGCATGGGAGTATCAAAGAAGAGAAGGGTGTTAATGGGTCGATGTGAGATTAAATATTGTGATTATCAGTAAGGATATAGTTAATATTTAAAATTATATCAATATTTATCTACATATTGATCTATTAAATCCTGGATAGTGAATTCTTTAAGGCGATTTGGAAATTTTTGGAATGGTTTAAGAATTAAGATTTAATTAATGGTTTCTAAAATTGCTTCTCACTGGTAGAAAAATTATTTTTTTTACAGATTAGTCGTTCATTTTTGGGAACCAATATCACAATAAATAATATGTTTGTTATGGCCATAAACTTAGAAAATAATCATCAACTGTAAAATTTTTGCATTTTTTGCTAAAGATAGTAGGCCATATCATAAAGTTAGGATTATTTATTGTGGTCGTTAGCCTTATAGGATTATTAGTTTCAATATTAAATAATTGGTAGTGTTGAGTGAGGAATGTTAGCTATTGGTTGAACCAATCTATGAGAACCAGGGCACCTAGATGTGTTGGGCCATGAATTGCAGAACAGTTATTTCTATTTATGCAATATAACCGTCTATTTCATTTATTATAAAGTTCTATAACGTTCTTGGAACTATGCATACAGCAATTAATAAGATTGTAATCTGCAACTATATAAATAATTTTAATCTCTATTAGACCTTTAGAATTGAGTAATGCAGATATGGATAATTATGCTGATAAATTATTTATTTTATAAGGTGAATACTATTTATATTTATTTTAAAATTTCCCCCAAAGGTACCCAGAGTGGTGTAACTTAATGGTATAAAATTGAGATTTAAAAGAAAAGGATATTTTATTCGTATCTGCAATTAATGTGGAACTGTTGTTATTATTTTTTATTAATTTTCCAGAAGAGGGTAAAACTACCATAAAAATCAATATAAATTTTTTCTAGCTAGGGGACCTTGTTCTCCTCTCCAGATTTCCCTGGTGATTGGATATTTGCCTTATTTTTACACTGAAATACAAATATTTTATTTACCTCAGAACATTTAGGTTCTAATCCAGACATAGTAAATCGATTTCGTATCAATTGAAGATTACAATCTTTATCATTATGATCTCTGGCCCTAGGATTTTTTTTATGTTTCATATCATGGCTCGGATTGGAATTAACATCAATAATATCTTTTAACTTTTCGCATTCTTTCATTTTTCTAATGCCAAAATATTGTTTTAATAAATAGAAATTTGTTAATAAAAATATTTGAAACAATTATTAGTATCTTACCATTTTACTTTATATTACATTGCATTGGCGTACGCAGCGGGGGGGGGCAGGGGGACAACCCCCCCCCCCCCTCAAAGCCAAAAAATGCAGATGCCGGATAAATTTTTCAAAAATATTATTGTTTTGTATTTTATAATATTTAATCCATTCTCTTTCGTTTTAAATATATTTAATTACATTTATTTATCACATTCATTTACTAAGTTATTTTATCAATTAATTTCGATTTCAAGTTTTTCTTGGCGTAATATTTGTCTATTTTCTAGTCACATAATAATTATGGACATAAGAAATTTTTTAAACATACTGATGATGATGAAAATCCTAGTCATCTTACAAAAAAGCAAAAAAGTACAAATAATTTTATAACATTTCATAATTAGCCTAGAAGTAAAACATAAGCTTCTTAAAAAGGTAATAAAGATACCTAAGATTAATATTTTATTTAATAATAGATTTATATTCTACCCCTCAAATTTCAAACAAACTTTATGTGCTAATTGAAAGTTAAAATTTCAAAACAGCTATTTTACTAGATGATTGTGGCTAGAATTCTCTACCGAGACAATGGAGCTTATTGCAAGTTATGAGTCCTGTTAGTTAAGTCAACAAGTACAAAGATGCTGGATAAATCTTTGACAATAAAACAAATTATCACAAACGCGGTAAACCCATTATTTCTTCAAATTAATTGTGGGGATATGATTCCCATTTTATCACATATTGACAAAAATAGGATTAAAATAGCAAAAGAAAATAGAGATCAAGCTAACTATTGAGGCTATACTATATTGATTGCAGGGCCCGTTATTACATGGTCATTGGATTCAGGAAGCTTGAATTTCTAATAATTATAATGAAGGTAATTTTCGTGGTCTTGTAAAATTTCAAGCATTAGGAGATTCTGTAAACAGAATTATTTCTGAAACTCCTTGTACAACAAGGAGAAAGACATTGCAAAAAGCTTGTCCAACGAGATGGAGTCTTTGCCATCAAAACAGCTTCTATAGAGTTAGAAGAGTTGATTATTATGCTCTTACTGAAAAATCACACCTGAAGGAGATATATCCTCAGAAGCAAGCATATCATTGGTTTCAATACTTACTTTTTTTCTCATTAGAATATATATTATGTATTTTTAATAACATAACATTGACTTGATTAAAATGATGAGAATAGCGGAGAGCATATTATTAGAACTCAGGGAAATTAGGGCTAATGTTATTGAAGAATTTCATATTTTATATGTTATTTTTGAGTCAAAAGCAGAGCTATATGAGATTAACATTTGCTCCCTCGGCTTGCATCGAGGCAAGCTTATCGTCCTAACATTAATATAGGGTCAGTAGAAGAGTATTATAAAATAAATGTCTTTATCCCTCTCTTAGATACATTTATAACCCAAATAGAACGGGTTTTAATTCATCAGGCAGCACTTAGTAGTCTGCAGATATTACTTCCACAAAAGCCTTACCAACCTTTTTCAGATAGTAATAGAAAAAAAATAAAATATTTATCAGATTTATGAAGATGTTAAAGTATCTTATGATGCCTTATTAGCTGAATGCCAACTATAGTATATAAAAGATTAACTATGGTTGATATAGTCCCAAAAAATGCTATGGATGCTTTGCATCATTTCAAACATCTTTAAGATTATTTTCCCAATGTATAATAAATTATATATATTAGCAACACTTCACATTAGTACTGCAACTAATGAGAGAACATTCCCTTCTTTAAGAAGAATAAAAACATACCTAAAGGAGTGCAACTTCTGACAATATATTGAATGGTTTGGCCCTTTTGAATATTCGTAGGCATTTGAGGCCAAGCACAGATGAGATAATTGAACAATAAACCCAATCTCAATGAAGATTGGATTTTACATATAAATTTATAATATGCTTCTTAATTATTTTATGTGCGAATTAATATTTTAATTATATTTTTTCATGAATACTTTTTAAGTTATTACATACAAAATACAATTATTCCTAAGAAACTTGTGTAATAATTTATATTTCCAACATTTAAATTTATACTTTATATATAAATTTTAAAGGCTTAAATTTAAATTTCTATTTTGGGTCATTTATTTTATAGTGATTTCTGATTTATATGCTGGTTATATTTATTTATAATTCACATTTATATTATAGTTTTTCATATGCCGCCGGTTATATCCGTTTAATATTTTTTTAATTCACATTTATTTTATAGTTTTCTATATGCCGGTTTATATATTTATTTTTTATAATTCACATTAATTTAAAATTCTGTATTAGAAATTGTTATTAGTCCTAAAAAAATTTATGCTTTATATTTTTAAATAACAATGATTTTATTTAAAAAAATTTTAATCCCCCCCCCCCCCCCCACCAAATTCCTGCGTACGCGCATGTTACATTGTTATAAATAGAAACTAAGAAAATATTTTTTAAAAAACTTCCTTAATTAAGAGTATGCTATAAAAAAATTTTGTACTCATTATACAAAGTCGTAAATTTATTCAATTCTTGTTTTTTTTTTCTATAATCTGTTAATATATTATAAAAGATTTCTTCAAATAAGTGTTTGGCTTCGGAATTTATGGACGGAAGAGATAAGATAGAATTTGATCTTGATCGCAAGTTATCTGCCGAATGTGATGTATCTGAGTTAATTGCCTGAGAGGGATCATTTGTGAATAATTCTGGGTTAGAGACTATTTCGTATAATCGATAAATTTCACTCTCGCTATAGTTAAAAAGGGGATTAAATTTATATATTTCAAACTAATAATAGAATACAAAATATTTTATCTTTATTTGGATTAATAACAAATTCTACTATTTTTTTGGGAAAGAGATGGGGGATGGGAGAGTGTATAGGGGATAATTAATTAGCTTAAAATGATATTTACGAAAACTAAACCCATGCATGGAGATTTATATTGACAAATTATTTGGGCAATTTTTTATAAGAAATGGACAGTGAAATTAATCACAATGGGCACTATTTAAATTAAATGAACATTAGAAAAACATTTGGTAGGTATGTTAAATTTTTGGTCAGTGTGTAATTAATTTTCAATTATTTTATTTATTTGGATATGGATAGTAGTTAAAATAAATAGATAGTTATAAAATAATTTGGTTGGTATTTTAAATTTTGGGTCTAATAAATAATTTTTAAGTTTTTTTATTTGAAGCTTATTTTGAAAATGGATAAGTATGTAATGGAACCAATTAAATACTATTCAGATTCATCTGATTACTATGAAAAAGCTGGCAATAGTAAGGATGAAATAAATAAAAATTTTTTAAAAATGCTAAAGTCCAACAATATTTAAATAGTAATGATTGAGGACAATAATCAATGATATACAAGAGGGTAGGAAGATTTATTTTAGATGTAATTTAGTTTTTAAAAAAAGAGAACAATGTGCAGTAAGATTTCATTTTATTTATAATTCTAATGATGATTATGTAACATTCATATTTGATTATTAAACAAACCCGAAAAAGAATAAAGCGATAATTTTGCAAAGTTTTAAATATTAGATTAAAAATTTAAAAAAATTTTCTATTTTTTAGATTTGCTCAATGGCACTATGCAGACGTTAGCCAAAAATTTCCTATAGAGATGGTGAGGGGGAGATAATTATTTATATATTAAAATAATTTTTTCTGGAACATAATTTATTATAACTAATCTATATTAAATTTATTATAACCAATCATATTAAAAATGACAATTTGGAACATAAACGATGAAATATTGGAAAATCAAAATATTTAAGAGCGAATAAAATATTGTTAAAAAATATTATAGCTATAACCGGTATGTATCACAGTAAAATATAGTAAACATTATATGATAGTTGATCAAAATATAGTTCATAAATGACAATTAAATCATGCGATCGCCCCTTTAAAATAGTTTCTCGATGCATATTAAGTAAAAAACTAGCCCATTCAACAGAATGTCGTACTTTTGAGGTAATATTTTATTTTCCTTAATAAAGAAAAGGTCCTCTAATTTGTCCTTGTTGTAAAAATTATTTAAAAAAATTGGTATTGTTGCCAAAATATACAATAATTTTCTTATATTTAGAAAAACTCCACAATATATTTTAAGGTAATTTTATTTTCCATAATAAAAAAAAGATCTTCTAATTTGTCCTTGTAATGAAATTTAGATAAAATAAATAAAGTTGGGAAAATTATTTCAAAAAATTGTTATTGTTGCCAAAATGTACAGTAATTTTCGTATTTTTAGAAAAACTCCATAATATATTTTAAACATTGCGTTTTTTGAAGGATTATGGATTATCTATTAAATTTAATCTTATGTAGCAAGATATAAATTCTGAAATTAATAGGCCTATAGATATATTTATACCATATGGATAAAATTTAGGTAAATACTTAATTTGTTCAATATCAAAATTTAATATATCCTGAAAAGGAACATAGGTAACAGTATTTGTAAATTAGATAGAGCCATTTGATGAATCACAAATCGTTCATTGATTTGAGTCAAAAATATACTCAAAAGTGGAATAACAATGGTAGTAATTCTCAATTGAGTCAACGTTAATATTGGAACGATTGTTTGTCTAGGTACAAGTATAGTCTAGCAGATTTTGAAATCATAGAATCTCACTTTCGCTTCAATAATCTAAGTGAAATTTTTTGTAGATATTGTCTCTTAGTTTTCAAAGTTGTAATATAATAATATTCGTGTAACTACAGCCAAATCCATAACAATTGCATAAAATTGTTATGCTATTAAATAAAATTTATTAATACAATGTTCCAATGCGGAAAAATGGCTGTCTTATTAAATCTAATAATGTATCAGCTTCAGATAAAATATCTGGTTTAGGCCATTCTGAAATTTCTCCAAGGTCATTAAATAGGCCCTTCGAGATCTAAAAATTAACAGTTTGATGTCGAAAGCTCCATCGTTTCGGGCATGCTTTTGCAGTTATTCTTTTCTTGTATACAAGAAGTCTTAAAATAATTCTATTTAGCAAATTTGTCTAAAAAATAATTATTAACCTCCGGAAGACTTTATTTTTTATTTAGATTCTTTTATTTATAATCATTGTTAATTAGAAGGTGAAGATGAATACAGTTATGTTGAGTTTAAGTTATATTTATATATTAAATTATATTACTTTTAGGTTCTTGGTTGATAAAATTTTTTTATATCCATCAATGTTTAAGGTTTAAAAATTTATAAAAAAAATATACTTTAATGATAAATTTACTTCCCAAAAATTTATAAATACTACATAAAAGATTAATTTTTTGATAATAAAAATAATGCCCTTTATTGCTAAGAAAATAATATCCATTTATATTTTATTTAAAGTCAAATGGTATATTTCATTCTCATTCTCGAGTGGTTTATACTAAACGGCTCTAAAAATATTAAAATAATTTCAAAATCTATTAATATTTAGAGATCACAAAATTTTAAAATGAATACTAACAATAACAACTATTTATTTATCGATAAAATATTTTAATTAAAAATGTCTTTGAATATGATATGTATAAAAATAATTATAAATTGAAAATGAAACCATAATATAATGATTTGAATATAAAATTTCAAAATATAATATTATTATTTAATTAGTATTTTTTAAAATATATTTTATTTTTTGCTAGCGAATTTTAATAACCTGTTTTTTACGTTTATTAGATAAGCCAATTCTATATTTCTAATAAGGCTAATAAACACCAATAGCATCACTAGGGTAGAGGGTATAGGCGCCCAGAGGCTCAAATTCCTGAAAAATATGGAGCCCCTTGAAAATTTGAATTATTTATAACAATACTTATAAATAGAAGATCATTTTGAAATTATTAAAATTAACTAAAAAAAAAGAAGGCATATCAGAAATACTAACTAAAATAAAATTAAGTTAATTTTAAAAAATATTTAGGCCACTTGAGATTATAAAGGAGAGTAACGCCACTGCTTATAACCCTTACAACGCAAGTTTACAGTGGACTTTCAAATAAATTTATCTGTATTTGAGGATAATTTTTACATACAATAAAACCTAATCATAAGTTTTGGGAAATGTATTTTCCTCCATCGAAAATTTGTTTGCTTTCATAGATATCATTTTATACTAAAAATGATCACTCACAACCCCCTCTCCTCCTACACCTAAACCTCTCTCCCCCTAAAAATGTGTACAATATCACTGACAATAATTTAAAAGATAAATATTAAGTTACTAATTTATTAAAATAATGATTATTTCAAAATTTTCATAAAAAGGTCTTTAATATAAAAAAAGTAAAAACTCAAAAGTATGTTAGAAATGTTTAAATTAATTTTAACGTTTTTAGATATAATTTTAGATTACTTTGTGAAAAACTTTTATATTTTTTAAATGATTTTTGCTACGGTGGGAGGAGGAATTCCTCGCTAGCCACGCGCATATTATAAGAAAGTATGTTTTCTACCTAATATATTTACGATATACTTGTTTAAAAAATGTAGAAAAAACAAACGCTATTTCGAACTTTTTTAATATAAAGTCAATAAAATTTGTCTTGATTTTAAAATCAATAAATCATATTTTTATTAAAATTTATTTTGCTGTTTATAACTTATTTAATATGTGACTAGTTAAAAAATTATTTAACCCGCCCGCTCTTCCGATTTATAAAATTATTTTATTCTCCCGCCCCTCGGGTGTGGACTAAAAACCCGCTCGTTTTAAAAAAAAATTCAAAAAAGCTTAAAAATAACGATTCTAATTGTCACTTTACTATAGTACATCAAAATTGAAATTCTAATTTAACAAGTTTACACATTATATTTCTACCCATTTGCTTCAAAAAAATTCAAAAAAGTTTAAAATTAACTATTTTGACAATTGTATGATACATTTTCACTGAAATTTTGGTAACGATTATGACAATTGTCACTTTTTTATGGTTCATCTTCCCAAAAATCTAAATTTAACATGAAAATTTATTTATTTAAAAAATTTTAAAAATAACGATTATAACAATTGTCACTTTTCTATGGGTTATTTTCCCTAAAAGCTCAATTTAACCTGTTTACCATTTATTTTTATCATGTCAAAAAAAAAGAAGATTATATGACAATTGTTACTTTTCTATGGTTCATCTTTATTGAAATCCCAATTTAACATGTTTATACTTTATATTTTTACCCTGACTATATAGGGATTCAAGCAGCTCAAAAATTCGATTTAGTCGACTAAATGGGTCAACTAAGCCGACTAAATGGATCGATTAAGCCGACATATTGATCAACTTAGTCGACGAATCGACATATTTAGTCGCTCGAGTTTTTAGTTGATTTTTGACTATGACTATTAGTTAATTGTCTTTTAGCCGACTAAATTTGGCTGATTAACAAAACTGCTAATAATGACTATTATATTATGAAATATTTATTTTTATGATCATATTAATTGAACAATATTTTAAAAAAATAGGTACAAGAGTGATTCAATGATAGAGTTTTTAATTTTCTTTTAGCCTTTATAAATTTATAAAATTTGGAATAAAATATTCTTTGCTATCCTACCCTATTCATTTCCTCGAAGTCTAATTTAAAAAAACGCGCAAAAATAATTCAGGCTTTATTAATATATTAACATTGAGTTCATTAGCTAAATTTATATCCTTATTGGTGAAATTGATATCTGGGTTGCGTCAATATTTATTGTCTGAAATCCTTAATATGTAAAA